GGCCGGGCGGGCGCCCGCCTCTCTTCGCCTCGTATTTTAAAAGCGAAACGTGGGTCCCGACGCCATCTCCGTGCGGAAAGGCTGTGCCTGGCAGGCAGCGGCGTGTGCCTGACAGGGAACCGGGGTTGCGCTTGAGAGGAGTTTTGAGAGGTGACAGATACAAAACTGTGCTCGCAGGTCTTCCCACTGCTACGTTTTTACTGACTTTTTTCTCAAGCCGTAGCATTTCTTCATGGGACTTAAACCAAACTTTTAAAATAAAGTAATAAAATCTGGAAAGACTTATTTGGTCAGATGCAACTTTAAAGTGGTACAGGACAACTTCTATTTGTGTGGAGAGAAAGCAACAAAGATCACTACAGTATTCCGAATAAAAAACACCTGTAGGATGCTGCCCATTCCTGAACAGTTCTACAAGAGTCCTCTACAGCCCTTCTGTGGGAGATTGTTGCCTGTCATCTAAAAGGTTTATTTTAGTCACCCATCAACCATTTTTCTGGAAAAGGTCATAGACAAAGTAGATTGAAAGAGTTTGGAATCTTGGTTTCAAAAAAATCCTCATTTTTTGTGACAGCCAGGAAAGTGACAAGTTAGTGTGACTTTGATAATTATCTTTAACATTCCGCAATTCGAAAACTGCTGTCTGTCCTAAGCCTGTTTTCTCCAAATGTGGGGTTCTTTTTCTTTCTTTTCCATGCAGCAGTCAATCTTACATACTTTCTTCCATCACTGAGTTTTATCTGGGTTGATTTTCAGGTTCATTTGGTAGCTAAGTCAAATAAAGTGAACATCACAGTTTAATATTCTGCTTATGCAGAACTCTCAACATTGCCTAAAAATAAGAAGAAAAAAAAAAAAAGAGCAGAGTGATTTTTTTTGAGATGCTTTCTAAGAACAAAATTTTGGGTGGAAACTAGGCGAAATGTAGTAGGGTTCTACACTGGTTGCTGTAGTTTATTTTAGAGGGGAAGAAAGTATAAATACTGAAGTAACACCTAGGAGTATGTTATGTGTAACAGTTCTTGGCTGTGTAGATCAGCATGACGCAATCCCTCTGCTAAGGTAGCTTGTTCTTTCTTTTGATAATGATGCAGCCTGTGGAATGTCATTAAGGTAATGGATGCTTCTTGCAACGGGAAAGTTGTCAATGCTTCCCGTAATTCCCAGTTTGTGTTTGCTGTGTGCTTCCGTGAACAGGCATAAAACATTCGTGGTAGCCAGTCCATAGAACTTACTGTGCAGCCTGAGAGTCTTCTCTAGCAGATACTGACTGACTGATTGAATGGTGTAAAAAGCATATTTTTTTTTTCATTGTCACGTGTTCCACTGGCATAGTTTATGTATTGTGGAAACTGAGCAAATTTTGAGACTTGTGTATGGAGGGCAAAGTGTTGGAATAAATGATGATTTTTAATGAGCACAAAATTGCATTCATTTGAAATGGGGGGAAGGGAGTTGGAAAGGAGGTTCATTAACATATTTCAAGTATCTTTATGTACTCTTATTCTAAGAAATTCACACCCCTGTTGTTTTGTTTAGCGGATATGACAGTGGCATAACTGAGGAGAAAAGACCAACTCTGAAGACCAGGGAGCTTGTGTTGCTGAGGACTTAGGGTGAGAGAAGATTAAACAAATTAATTCTGATCCCTTGTCAGGCTGCAAAATCTTAAAGTGATAAAAAGTTTAAAGTGTTTTAGATAATTTATTGAAGGAAGTGGCTTATCAAAATGGTTAAGACAACACTTGGTACAAAAAAACCTAACCTGATAAATTTATCAGAAGTGCTCCTTCATGTGACCTGTGCTCAAGCGATGACATTTTTTATGAGCTCTGTTCTGCAGCTTTGGAAGTTTGTGGTAGAGCTACATCTGAGCACAGCTTATTCCCTTTGTTTTTTCTTTTTTTTCCACCTCCCACCCCTCCAGACTACACTCCTAAACACCTCAACAATGGTGTGAACTGTGGGATGCCTAAAAAGCAACATTTAACGTTAAGCATGAATTTGTGATCTTTAAACTTTGTGTAAATTGTCCGCTGGCAAGTGACAGGCTGAAAAACTCTGGTCTAAAGCAAGAAATTCTAATTCTACAAGCGTGGGAGTAAATGCAGGTAATAGTCCAGGCAAGGAAAGAATTCTTTCTTCTGTCATCCTGGACACAGTAACACACTGCACCTGAGCTCCAGATGATCTCGATGAGCATCAGGTCAAGAACAACCGCTAAAGTTTTTCCCTTTAAAGAATAATTCCTAGTCCTTATTGTGGCCACAAAAACTTTTATTAAACAACAAAAAGGGTACTGGAGCTTCATGAGGCCCTGGATAATTCTAAACTGTAGGTTTGCTTGTCACAGAGTTGCCCTAACTCAATAGAGAACTTCATGTTTCTGAGGGTTGCTGCAAGGTAACTAGGCACAGAAAGCTTCAGTGTGATATGTTTGGGTTTTTTTTTCCTCTCTCCACGTCTATTTTAGGACCTACCCTACAGCTGTGTGATGAACCCCTGCTGGGGAGCCCCTTTCTCCCCCAGTTTCCCATCCCCTGTATGGTCCTTCTAGCCAAACAACTGGGAAAAGGTTCAGAGGGCAACAAAGAGAACCAGCTGGTGTTGCTCACTGGTTGTGGAACCCTTTTTCCAAGCAACCAAGTCAGACCAGTCAGTGAAGCATACAGATTTTTCCACAGTTGTGGGAGAGGCACCAAAATTCTCAGAAGACAGGAAAACCTAAGGTTTATGTGTGTGGAGATTACGGAAAAAGTCTGCAATGACTTTTACAAAGCTGTCCTCGAGGATGAAGCTTTCTGCGTGCCGTAAGTCAACTGTGGCCCCTGCATTTTAGGTAGGGTAGATAAGCCTCAATGGAAGAAAGATGGCATGCTCGGTATCTTGGAGATCTGCTAGCGCTTTTGTACCTTAACCAAACTTCAGGCTGGCACAGAACAAGCCCAGTTCACCGCATCTGCACTGTTTAGTATAGTTTGTCCATCCTACTAATAGAACTTAGTTTTACTGGTCAGAGCGGGCGAGATGGATTTCCTCAGTGATAAAGGGGAAGAGAATGCTGGTATGTTTCTATTGAATTA